GAACACCAAACAGTCTCTGATAACTCAGGCCCATTTCTCTGAGTTATCAGAGACTGAGTGGAGTTATCCTTTCTCTACCCAGCTTACGACTGCTCTAATACATATATAAAATCACAAAATTCTTTTCTAAGTGGCTTCCTAATCATGCAAAGTTGGTGGCTGTGAACCGCCATTCCAAAGTTAGTAGAGTGGTGAGAAGACCAGAAAATAAAGGCAAGATGTCTACTCAAAAGTATATAATTTGGGAAACAAGACATAAAGAATGAAAAGGTTTAAATATACATACAAGGGTACTTCAAAAAGTTCATGGAAAAATAGCATTAAAAGATAATATGAATCTTTCCATGAACTTTTTGAGGTACCCTCGTACAAGAAAAAACAAATTTAAATATAATAATGTATACAAACTTCCTATCATAAAAGATAAACTATATCTAATAGATAATCTTTCTAAATAAGAGTTCTCAGGTATTTTTAAATTACCACTTTGAAACAGTATTTCAGAAAATTCATACAAGTTCTATTAGGAAGAAGGAACAGTGGAATGATCCCTATGCCTCCCTTCAATGACAGCTGCCAACAAAAAAAACATAAATTAAAAATATATACAACATATGAACCTTACTGTGAGCTATAAAAAGGATCACTACTATATAATGTTGCAGTGAGGTTTTTCTCATGCTATACTACTAACCTTGGATAAATCCAAGACAGATATTTATTTTAATTTTCACATAGATCAATATAGGGCTACAGTGATATTCCATTATATTATATAGAACAAAGACTTAAACAATATTAAACTTGCATTTTACAAAAAATCCCATAAGCAAAATTCCTAATGAAATTATAGTATGTTAATATTACACAAGCATAAAATACATGACAGTTAATCCAGGAATGACAGAGTAGAATTTGTCATTTCTTAGTATCTAAGAAGAATAAGGGAAGAGAATCACGACAGACAGTCCCTGGTATATCACACACTTTCCCATGAACATAAGGAATGAGAGAAAACAATTTTTCTGCAGTTAGTACAAAAATCCTGCATCCCACAACATAAGTCTGCCTACTACTTAGTGATTAAAAACAACTGCTGAAGAGGATGAGATATTCCAGAGTAAACAATATTTAAGGGGAAAATCTATTTCCTAATGTTTTAGTACACTATATTAGCCATAAAATTAAGAATGCCATAAGCAACTGATATTTTACTTTTTCTGATTAAACTTTATAGTTAGAGCCAGTCCTAAACAAAAATAGTAGTTATGTACTTCCCCTGTCAGCAATTCAGGCTTATAAATGTTATACTCTCTTCATATTTCTTCATTCATTCATTCATTCACCTTATATAACTTAAATGACCATCATCTATGTAAAAAAGGTGACTAAAACTCAGGCCCTGCACTTCAAGCCCACAAGGAACAGAGGACATAGGCATGTAAACAAGGTAATAATAAAATGTGATAAATGCTGTATCTGACATACACATAACATCCCTAAGTGAGCAATCCCATTTATCAGAACTTATCCAAGTGAAGTAATTTCTAAAATTTGGAAAGCTGATTCTTAATTTCTCAGCAAATGTAAGAGATGTACCTACCCTAGTATCTATTATCAAAATATTTTAATATTCTAATGAGTATTATTGGAGTTTGTTTCAAAATATCTATCTTTTCTCAATAACTGTAGCACTGACTCAAATGGTACTTTTATTTTCAAACAACTTTTAACTTTATTTCAAGAGCAATAGCTTTTTATAAAATTCTTAAGAATAAACTTTAGACTTGGAAAAATACAGACATTTCTTTAACATTAACATCTGTAAACTTGGTACGTAATATACTCTTTGTTATTTAGGAAACTTGGAGGCCAGGTTGAAAGAAGTTTATTTGTTCATGTGCTTAGAGATAAAATACACACACTGTGCTAGTACCCAAAATGTAAGTTCATAATTGTCTAAGCAAAGACCTTTTCAAGTATATTTTTCTTTGTATGTCTAAGTTAACTACACACTATTTAATGTATTCTGTAATTTATTAAAGTTCACTGATGTGATTCTAGGAGGCTAAGGCCCACTATATATGAATGGCAGAAACAGACTCAATATTTTTTGAAAGATGAAAAACAGATAACAAATCTAGCCCAATGCATAAGACTATATACATTTTATAGGCTGGGGTACAGCTAACTGTAACCCAAAGTCATCCCATAACTACATTCATAATAAATAGTAATAAAAATACAACATACAAAAATTTTTTAAAATAAAATATAAATTATTATAAAATGTTACTAACTAAATAATGAATAATTTGTATACAGATACAGATCCTGTTTGGAAAGGTTACAGTGCACCAAAACCAGTATTTGTTATATGGCAGAAGAAGAGGAGAGACCTAGCAGGAAGTCTGTAATAATACTATTCCAGTCATTTTTCAGGCCCATTTCAAGGAAAGGGAGAAATAAGACCATCAGACCATCACAGTTTTAGCTAAGATGTGTTAAAAGTTAATTAAAGTGAACATGTTTTAGGGCACACAATGTGAACATACAATAATTGAGAAAACAAACTATCTGAAATTGAATCAACTGTAGAAATGTAGTATGTCCAAATGGTTAATTAAACAGATTTCTGTTAAAAATACCCTAAGATGACCAGTATACATGAGACCACTCAGCATAAGATTACCTGGTGCTTTGCTCAGAGCCTCAGCCAGAAGTTCTTCCTCTTTTGAGTACTTATAGCATTTTATCTGTAAAGCACCATTATCATATTTACCTGTTATACAATGACTTATACACATATTACTGCTCCTATTAGATCTTCGATTTATGTTTCTATCACCCACAGCCTAAACTAGGTAACTTTTAACTAGTGGTCAATAAATATTTTTTGAATGACTAAATAACAGCATGCTCACTCATGCATATGTGCTCTCTTTCTCACTCATACACACACAGAAGAGCTACAGATTTGGTTCAGCCACACACTCAACATGAATTATGTGACAGATCTAACAAAAATCAAATGATATAATAGAAATGTGGTATCCGATTCAAAGGCAACTAGAATCTTGACTTTTCCTTATGGCAATTAAACCGTATTTAGAATGTAATATTAAGTATATTTTGAGATGGCCACTAAAAACTGAGGAAGGCTGATGATTGCTTATTATTTCATGATACTAATAAAGAATGAGTAAGTTTAAAATATCTGAAGTCAAGGATCATAAAAACTTACATGAATTGCTACCACTAAAATTTTTATCTATAAGATCCTGAAATGAATCTTTTTCTCTCCTTCAAATCAAGGTGGGAGATTTTATAACTTGGAAGTACTTTTTTTCAACAATGATCACTTCTTTTATAATATGCAGAATACATTAATTTAAGGAATACATTTATTTCCACGTGCAAAATACTTTAAGTTTCAGGCCGGCCCGGTGGCGCACTGCTACAGTGCACCGCTTGGGAAGCGCGGCGGCGCTCCCACCGAGGGTTCGGATCCCACATACAGACCGGCCGCTCACTGGCTGAGCGAGGTGCGGGAGCAACACCGAGGGTTGCAATCCCATTGCCGGTCCCGGTCCAGTACGGGCGCGACACTGAGGGTTGCGATCCGTTGCCGGTCACAAAAAAAGACAAAAAGGAAAAAAAAAAAAACTTTAAGTTTCATAGGATTCCCAATTATCTGATTTTTTCATCCATTAAAATTTTTCTTAAGCACCTGTACTATATGTGCAATATAATGGACAATACTAAATAATAACCAGGGTGCCTGCCTGGGAGCAACAAAAAGCACAGTTATAGAAGAATAAATAAGAAATACCCACATGAAATGGAAGAGTGCACAAACCAAATGCCAATGGTAAAGATAAGTAATTTAAAAGTTCAGAGAAATGGGTAAAGTGCTTAAGCAGCAGAAGTTAAATTGTGTATTAAAAGATGATCAGGATTTAAGATAAATGACACAAACAACAAAATGTACATGGTTTATTTAGCGAACACTCAGATCATTCTGGGTGAAAAAGACACTTGATGCTGGGAAGTGGAATAAAGTAAGTTTGGAGTAACAGATGAGGATTAATTTACAGAGAAACTTTAGAGCCAAATTAAGAAATCCGGCTAACAATTCTTAATTTAAGACTTTAGAGCAATAAACTGACATGCAAAAGAAAGCATTTAGGGAACTGTCATCTTGTAACAGTATATAGCTTTAATGATAAACAGAGCAGAAGCTGGGAAACCTATTAGGAAGTGAATAATATAGATCTCAATCATGGTTGTGTTTACAGAAAGAAATACAAAAGGAATAGATTTACTAAGTACAGCAGGCAAGACAGTGTCTGATAAAGATTTCAAAGATTTTGTATGTAAGTACCCCAAACAGATAGAAAAAAAATGAGGTTTTGATAAAATTGAGTTAATAAGAAATTAAATGACTTATTCAATAACATACAATTAGTTACCTTCACTGCTAGTACAGGAAGATAGATACAATGAACATAAAACATAAAAAAAAAAAAAAAAAAAAAAAAAAAAGGGGGAAAAAGGTTTTTTTTAAAAAAATATTTTCTAG